GTTACCTAGAAAGTATTAAGAATCAGATTGACTTTTCCCATGGAGAATCATTTAAAGACTTTTTGAGGGAAAAGGTTGTGGCCATGATAGTTTATACTGAGTTAATTTTAGTTCATGTGTTAGGGTAACACATTTTCAAGGATTCAGAAAATAGAACTTCTATGAATCTTTTAAATAATGTATTTCAACTAAGTGACAAGTCAAAGTTAAAGCCTGAATAGGGAAGTCATGATGTACAGGGGAATCTCTCACACAGTTTAGTAAATTCAGGACCTCAAATTCAAGAATCAAGTTGCTTCTCTATTAGGATATTGTGCAACGTAGGGGGCAGCTTGCTCCTCAGTGCTTCCACTAGCAGGACTGTGCTTTCCTTCCGCTTCCTGTTCTTGCCTGCTGACACAAGGTGTGTTTCTCAAGCTGTTTTCTTCATGTTGCAGATTGGTTCCTTGTTGTGATTGATAACCATTGGAAGCACTTCTGGGTGCTTTCCTGTTCAGCATTTGCAATCCAATTATTTGGTTGAAACACTGTGTCAACAAGGATTACACAATAAAATCAAAATTGCATAAAACCATAACGGCCATCGTTGTTGCCAAATAAATTGAGCAATGATTTTCTACATCCTGACAACTTCTCTTTTTGTTAAAAAAATTATTCATTTGTGAGAGAGAAACATTGATTTGTTGTTCCACTTATCTATGCATTCATTGATTGCTTCATGAATATGCCCTGACTGGAGGTAGAACCAGCAACTTTGGTGTATCAGGACGATGCTCTAACCAACCCAGCCAGCATCCTGACAACTCCTCTTGAATAACAGATCATGTTTTTCCAATATTGGCTATGAAAAACAAAAGACTCAGGGGCAATCTTTACTAGTCAGGAAGCCCATCCTCTTATTGTTCATCTTCTAGGGAATGATCCTGTTACCTAGACTTGGGCAGAGTTGGGTCTTTGGCTGAGCTAAACTAGGATTTACATTTGGATGTGCCTGATGAATGCATGAGTTCACATGTATAGATCTACCTGAGTTGATTTGTACTGAGAAGGAAACTGAAGAAGTAGATTTGTTGTGGGCTCTTGGGAGAAAGTGGAGGGGTGGGAGAAGGAAGAAGGAATGGAGAGAAAAGTGTGGTGTCTCTTACATAACTTGTCTGCCTGTTACCCTGGTTGAGGTCTTGGAAGAGAAAGGGCCTTCAGGCAGAGGTAGAAGAATCAGATTTCAAGAAGTTTTCGAGACTTGGGACCATTAGAGAATTGTTCTGATGCCAGATGACAGCAGGAGCTATGGAGTGAGGTAAGAGAAGCAAACTTTCCAGGTCAGCATGGCTTTCACTATTTAAAACCAGCAGGGAGGGCCAAATTGCATTATCCTAATAAGAAAAAATAAATATGTATGGTGAAACCTCATCATAATTCTAAGAGCAAAGTCCAAAAATTAAATGGTTTAGTATAAGAGAAACAGTTTTGCAAGGTTAATGAAATAAAAATGGTGGCTGGATGGAGGATGGGTATCAATTGCCAATTGTATCATAATGGAATTTGCTTAACTGCAGATATCTATCTATCTATCTATCTATCTATCTATCTATCTATCTGCCTATCTATGTGACCATTCCACTGGTAGCTATCATGTGTACTGACCACGATGGGGCAGACTCTCAACACACAGGCATGGAAACATGGAACAGACTGATCAATCTCAGAGGGAATGGGGGAGGGTGGGAAGAGATTAACCAAAGATCTTATATGCATACTAGAGGCCCATGCACCGGTGGGGTCCCTCAGCCTGGCCTGCAGGGATTGGGCCGAATCCATGCACCAGGCCTCCAACATCCCCCAAGGGGTCCCAGATTGTGAGAAGGCGCAGGCCAGGCTGAGGGACCTCATCTGTGCACGAATCCATGCACCAGGCCTCTAATATATATATATATATGTAAATGGACACAATTTTTAAGTGGGCCTGGGGAAGAGAAGCAGGCTTCGCAAGGGAAATAATTATGTGAGCATATTATAATGGATATCTCTGTGTTGTGGGATTTGGAGGGATATTTTCCCCACATGTCAGTAGTTTCCAAAAGTTCTATGATAGGAATATAGTAGTTTTCTCGTCTAAAAATTTTATTTTAAAAATCCATAGAATATTTTATTTTATCTAGTCAAAATAAAAGTATTTGAAGGTGTCTTGACTAAATAAATCCTCTTAATAGACTAACTACAACCAGGAGTTTTAAATTGGCTATTGTACACTTGGCAACATAAAGTATATTTCAGATCAAAGCCTTTTCACTTTGGAAAAACATTTTAATTAACAATTCAATTTATGTCATTTTTGTAGGTGTTGTTACACTTTTTT